CATAGCGCAATAATCGGGGCATTTTGACAAGTACAAGTACTTGTCAAAATGCCCTGTTTTTACAGGGGGTCGGGGAGGGGGGCGCAAAAATGCACCTTGCCTTTGTAGGCACGAATCCTAGCACCGGCCCTGCCCACCAACACCGGCCCTTACAGTGTCCTGGCCCTGATGTACTCACAGCGGGTTGTTATTGTCCAGAGAATCACCAATTCGCACCTCGAGATCCTGCAAACGTTCCAAACGGTCGTCTCCCCTGCCATAGACCACAATAACATACACGCTCTGTTTCTGTTTCAGGTCCAGTCTCCACCAGGGTTCCCAGTCTTGATTTGTGTGGCTACAGGAACCATGATACAAGTTCTGGTCTCTCACACCATCAATGGCCTTGGTAGCATTACCATTTGAAGGACTCAAGAAGTCAGAACTCTGCGTGGCTACCCCACTTCTGGCGATATTGGCAGCTGAAGAAAGAAACACAAAACACACTCCATGATTATACATATAATGTTCTTCCATTGTTCTAAAGACGTCTTCATCATGAAATAGACTGTAAGCTGCAACGTTGTCAGTAATTTGCTGGAACATTCTGTAATGTCGTTATATAATAACATACTAATATTAATAGCTAAAAGTCCATCTATACCCAGGACTTTTTTTAATTTTGGATAGAATGGGAAAAGGTCAGAACCCCTGTCAGGTTTTACTGCTATCCGGGGCTCCGTTAGAGAGATTTCCCCTCACTTCCCGTTGTGAGCACAAGCTTTCTACCAGACAGGAAGTGAGGGATCACAGGGAAACAGATTACAATAAACAGACAGATGTCTGTTTATTGTAATCTGTTCTCACATTCCCCTATGTTCAGAGTCCTCTGATTCGAATCTTCTATGAAGGTTGAGACAGCTCCTGAGCTTCGGTTCACTGGCTTGTCAGCCGACTCAGCCAGTGAACCGAAGATTCGATTCATGAATCGGTTCTTTTGCATGAACTGATCCAAATGAACCGATTCATTTGAAAGATCCGAACTTCCCATCTCTAGCCCATGGCCCTCTTCCTCGTCTTGGCGGCCAGGGGCGGAGCTAAGAGACGGCCCTCTTATCTCCGCCCCTAGGAGGCGGGACCAGCTCATTCTCCGGGATCAGTGACAGGCAGCGTCTCCAGCCCTTTCGCACAGCCGACAGGGAAGGAGCGGATCGATCGCGGGCGGGGGCCCTCTACTTCCTTGCTGGGCCCCCCCAAGTGGCGGAACGTCAGGGCCCGGTCGCAATTGCGACCGCTGCGACCCTGGTAGTTCCGCCAGTGAATCGGATTGTACAATCTCCTTTCGCTCTAAGAAAAACTATGTAATACAAGGGCCTCTCTGATTGCATACAAATTAATTGGTTAGATTAGGTAGGTCCTCATATTACATTGGCTGTTCACTTTGCATAAGAATTTCCACTTAGCTTAGTGAATGTGGTGAAAATACCTGAAGGAGTACTTTTCATCAACTTTATAAGTATGTGGGAGGGCATTCATACTCTCACCTATCAGAGTTGACCTCACACCTTGCTGGCCACCAATGTGAAGTTCTTATGTCCTGGAACACTGTGTTATTCCATGCCTGTCATTACAGACAACTTCCCTTCACTGACAGATCCCAGAGATAGAGCCAAGAAAGAAACTGGACTGGAGTGTCATTCAGATGAACAATAAATCACGCCCAGTCTGAAAGGCATGCACCGGGGGTTCCAGTCGTGCTCCTTCTACAATGAGGATCACAATGGACGCCTCTGACTATGAAAGGAAAACACAGGGTTTTTTTTTTACATTGCATCTTTGGGCATGGGTATTCTCCATCCTGCAGCTGCATGCAAACAATGGGTTGGGATGATGGTGACATCATTGATCTTGTATGCCACATGGCCTTGTTTGGTCAATGATATAATAGATGATCTCAGGTTCAGCCCCTAGTGTTCTATACAGGGCTTTCCGGGTGTCACTCAGTATGTTTTAAGTAATGGACTCTCCTCTTCCTCAGGACTGAGGAGGCGATGGCTTTTGGCTCTTCACCTTGATATCAGCACCAGCTCACTCCTTCCGGCCTGCTTGTTCCATACTTCCATGTTTATCTTTCATTAAAATATAATGTATTCTTGTCCCATGTCCTGAGTGCAGAAATCTCCTCACCCCTACTTATACAGTTACAATTTGTTCTGATATTCGGGGGTATCAGAGAACTTTGTAGATTGCAGCAGCTTCCTCTAATATACAGCGGATTGATACACAAAGCTCTGCAAAGCAAATCCATTTTTCTCTATATCACCTAGCTGCTGCAGTGAGAGTGTATTCAGACCTTCCTCCTCATCTAGTGCCCCATGGTCATTATTATTTGCTTTTTAAGCTTTGTATTATACTTACCTCCAGGTTCAGGGCTGCAGCACCAAACCACATCCAATGACCCCAGCAAAAGCAAAGCCACCAGAGCCTTCATTCTGGATGGAACCTGAGGACACAGAGACTCCATTACCATACTCAGACAGTAACATAATACATAAATAAATGTACTTGCCTAATGAACAAATCAATAGGTTAGACAGTAGGTAAAGAAATAATAGAACAAACAATCATTAAAGAAACATTCCCCCCTCCATCCCCCGCATCCCATTTCCCTTATCTGATAAAAACAGTAGAACTCATTTTGTCTAAGGGATAAGAATACACAGAGTAATACTAACCTTTGCCAATGGTCCGGTCCTCTCCTCTCCTGTGAGTGGGCACTGCTACATCAACCTGTACTAGACCAGAATGGATGCTGGTCCCGTACTGTACATGATTTTTTTTCTACAGTTTTCTCTAAGGATTGCTGTGATTTATCACCCTCCTGGACCAGTATCACACTTCCTTCATGACTTTTCACCTGGCTGTTTTCTTTCCTCTGAAATACCCACCATCATCCTCGGAGACTTTAACATCCCTATTAATGTTAACACCACAGCTACCTCTCAGCTCCTCAGCCTAACTTATTTTGACCTAATGCAATGGACATAAACTCCTACTTACCATGATGGAAACACCCTTGACCTTGGATTTCCCAACGTCTGCACTCCTTGTACCTCTCAGACACCCCTTTTCCTCTCTCTGACCTGAAACTCATCAGTTTCATGCTCTCCCTGTCTTCAGACCCCTATCCTGCCAAGCAACAGTCACCCATAGAAACCTTGACCACTTTAACCCTTCACTTCTCTTTTCTGCTACTGGCTTCCTGTATGACAAAATCTCACCCCTATCCTGTCCTAACCTGGTCATTTCTGTTCACAACAACTCGCTCTCAGTCTCCCTGGACAATTTTGCTCCCCTCACTACACACACACAATTAGGTCCTGACCATTACAAGTCTGGGAAACTAACAACACCAGATGTCTCAAAAGACAGAGCTGTGCTCTTGAGCAACTATGGTGAAAAACTAAATGACTGCACGGCTTCTCCTTATATAATGGAGACTTTTAAGGGGTCCAAAAAACACCCGGAGAACTAGAAAGAAATATTGAGGGGTTTCTAGTATAAAAAAAGTGAACCCCTGTCTTCTTTTAGCCTTCTGTGTCCCTTAGGGGAGATTTCATTGAACTTTCTGTCCTGTAGACAGAAACATTTCTAGAATCCTAAAACATCTCGGTCACAGCCAGGCACCCAGACTAAAATGTTCCATAGGGTTTGTGGTATACCATGATAGCTAGTAGGTGATGTTGCTTCTCATTGCCCCTTTGATAGACTCGTATTAAAGGAGAACTATGGGGTCAGTGTTTTTCCCCATAGTTCTCCTTAGGGTAACGGGAGGACACAAACTAGCGGCCTCCCGTTACCCTAAGCTCAGTATACCGCGAGCTAGAGCTCGCGGTTTACTGAGTCGCCGGAGCGGATCCCGACCTGGACGTCGGGATCCGCCCAGCTGCGTGAGTGACAGCTGGCTCTGCCTATCTAGAGGCAGAGCCAGCTGTACCCGCCCCCTCCCCCGTCCGTTCTGACAGTCAGCGCTGGCAGATCGGAGCGGGGAGAGGGGAATCCAGCCCCTCCCCCTGTCACGGCAGAGAGCCGTGACAGGATCGAGAGGTGAGCGAACGCCGGTATGTGTTCGCTCACCTCCCGATCTACTGAGCCAACCTGTGACAGTCTCATTGTCACAGGTCGGCTAGAACAATGAGGTGAGTGGAAATCACTCATCTCATAGTTCTCCTTTAAGAAAATCCTCTTTGGAGGATTGTACATCTGATGACATAACTTAACATTTAAATTAAATGTATATTAAATAATGACTTGATTAAAAATGATGTTCCAAAAGCATAACGTGCATATAATATATGTCATCATTAAAGGGGTTCTAAACCCTCCGGTTTTTTGGCCTATATCTACTGCTAGCAAGCAGTAGATATAGGCACGAAGAGTAAAAAAAAAAAAAAAACGCTTAAAATCCTTTTAAACTTACCTCGTTATCGCCGCTCGTTCCCGCGCCGAGAATCAGGAACTGCTCGTACGGCCGCAAAGGATCTTGGGGCGGGCGCATGTGCAGTTCCGATTCTCAACCGGGAGACGAGCAGAGACGCAAGGTAAGTCTATGGACGCGTGTACCCGCCTGCAGACACCGCTGGATCGGAGAGACATGTCAGTCAGCGCTGGATCGGAGTGACATCACACCGCTGGAGGGACAGATGAAAACATGGGGAAAGAAGAGGAAGATCGGAAAAAAGAGACATCATTTAAGGTAAGTGCTAACATTTACATTGGGGGGAGGGAAAATTGTTTTTGCCTTTAATGTCACTTTAATCAATGGACATTCATTTGTTTAGTAAAATGGAAGTGTGCATTGTGCAGAAACCAAGTAGTAGATTATAAATGCCGGATTCTCTCTACATAACATAGTTCTAAAGAATTGTGAGGGGGAAATGCAGATACTAATGGAGGCAGGAATGGATGTCCAAGACTGAAATATGTTCATAAACAGGATCATATTTAATGGCAAAAATTATTGCAAAGGCAGAAAAACTTGGAGCACTCAGCAGAAGGCAAGGGAGACTCAGAAGAACACTCATGGTACTAAGCAGAAGACAACAGCACTCGGCAGAAGACCTAGGGCATGTGCCAGGGTCTAGAAACGTCCCTGCCTGTAGACACAAAAGAAAGTGAAAGGAAATATCTCAGAAGTGGGGAAAGTCCCCTCTTAGATGGTTGTTGCTGAAACTGGAGCCCCCATTAGAAGATTTTTCCCTTGCTTTGGACTAAGTGATAATGGTCACCAGCACAGAGAGGGTGAATCTCCCCAGTGGGAGCACAGACAAAGGTAAAAACATCCAATGTTCCCTTCGCTCTGTTAAAGTAACTATTCTAAACCTCCCACCCTACATACACGGCGCTTCAAATATGGTGCACCATGCAATGATATCCAAAATGTACTATATACATGAGCTAAAAATTCAAATACTGTACATAAACCCAAACACACACACACACATCAGGAAGTGGAGGGAAATCTCTTCAATGTGGCAAGGAGGAGTCTTTACTCTTTCTTCCTCTATTCTAATTTTTTAAAGAATTGACATTTGATACATTTTAATGTCTCTGTTACCCTCGGGATGATTTTGCTCCCCTCTGCTTTTTACGCTAAGCAGTCCCCTCCCCCCCCCCATTTGTACACCAACAGATATTATGATGGTACTCACCTGTACAGAGTCTTGCAGCTAGTGACACATGTACAGCCTCTGTTGTATATTTATAGGATATCTGCTTTTCATATTTCCTCCCACCTCACATTTCCACCCAACTGAGAACGGGAACCTGGTAGCTATTATAGCTATAATGTATTTTGCCTAATTACCTGTCATAATATGTTTTTCTCTAAAAGTTTTTCTTGGGAAATAGAAAGCCGTACAGTCCTGTTGCAGAATCATTTCCATAATATTATGAATGGAGCATCTGTTATGGCTTAAAGATGAATTCTGGGATTAAAAAAAAGCTCCATCCCCCAACACCTTCCCCCCACCCTCAAGGGTTTAATCCTTGTCAAGTCCAGGGGTAAAGGAATAAGGTCCCTGGAAGATTATTCTGTGTGGCGCTTCATCTGGCAATCGCACTCCATGAGGAATGGCCCACAACTCGGAGCATTGGAGAGAAGAGCGCCATAAGCCTGCCGGAGAGAGGAATAATGTAACTATTACAGCTTGTCCTCCTACCCCGAAACCTAATGAGACATTAACCCTTACAATACCGGTGGGAGGGGGTACTGCAAGGGTATTTTTGGACAAAAACCCCCATAGTTCAGCATCAAGGTCAACTTTCATTGACCACTGTCCCAAAAGTCCCTCTCTGCAGCATTCTGGCAGGGGACAAGCTTTTCTACTCAGGTCGTGGATACTTTCTCCAATTTTCACAATTGCTAACACACAGGGCCATCTTTAATAATGATTGGGTAAACATTGTCTTGCCCCCCGCCCCCTTTCCACCACGCTATGCAGTGTACATCACGGGCAGAGCAGCGCTTTGCAATGCAAACCACATTTTTGAACAATATGCAGGAGAGAGCAGGAGCAGTGGTGTTAACATCACTTAAAAGGTAACATTAAAAATGAAAAATTCCTTTAAATATCATGCCCTGGGGGGTCCCCATTAACTGCCTGTGAAGTGGCGGATCTGTAGGATCTGTACGATGTGTAGAACCTGCTGCAGCAAAACTCAGGCCACATGCCCTTTGCACTGGGAGGGTGATTTTCCATGGAAAAGCACCTTGTCCCTGTGCCGATAGAGACAAGGGCCACTTCCCCACAAGCCCTGAGGAGTTGGTTGTGGGGGTCTGCGGAGGGTACTGCCAATGTTCGAGTTGAACTCACGTTCGGCTCGAACATCAAGCCCAACAATAGAGACAGCATGGAGAGAGAGCGAGGTGAGACAGCCAGGAGAGAGAGCGAGGCGAGACAGCCAGGAGAGAAAGAGGAGAGAAAGTCAGGAGAGAAAGAGGAGAGAAATTCAGGAGAGAAAGAGGAGAGACAGTCAGAAGAGAAAGAGGAGAGACAGTCAGGAGAGAAAGAGGAGAGACAGTCAGGAGAGAAAGAGGAGAGACAGTCAGGAGAGAAAGAGGAGAGACAGTCAGGAGAGAAAGAGGAGAGACAGTCAGGAGAGAAAGAGGAGAGACAGTCAGGAGAGAAAGAGGAGAGACAGTCAGGAGAGAAAGAGGAGAGACAGTCAGGAGAGAAAGAGGAGAGACAGTCAGGAGAGAAAGAGGAGAGACAGTCAGGAGAGAAAGAGGAGAGACAGTCAGGAGAGAAAGAGGAGAGACAGTCAGGAGAGAAAGAGGAGAGACAGTCAGGAGAGAAAGAGGAGAGACAGTCAGGAGAGAAAGAGGAGAGACAGTCAGGAGAGAAAGAGGAGAGACAGTCAGGAGAGAAAGAGGAGAGACAGTCAGGAGAGAAAGAGGAGAGACAGTCAGGAGAGAAAGAGGAGAGACAGTCAGGAGAGAAAGAGGAGAGACAGTCAGGAGAGAAAGAG